CCCCGGGACCGGCCCCGGTGGGCGATCCCACATCCTCGACCCGGTGGTCCGGAACCGGCCCCGGGGAGCGATCCCCCACCTTCAGCCCCAGTCCGACCCGGTCAGCCCTTTGCCCCCTCCACCACCAAGCATCCTGGCAGAGGGGCTGCACAAAGCTGCTGATGGCACCCACGGGACCAAAATCCACCGATTCCCAGCTGTCCAAGCTCCAAATTAATCCTACTTTCACAAAGCACTAAAACCACCGAAAATCACCCATTTCTGCCAGTCCTCAACAGAAACACCGGAGCCAAGTGCTCCCCTGAGCACAGTTCTCTTAAAACAAGACATTGCCTAATAAAGCTGGACAGCTTTTGCTGCATGATACCACTGGATTATCATCAACTAATCAGATTAAAAACACACGAAGGCTTTGATTTTATTCACTAAGTGCCCAGCCCACAGCTCCCTGGGGGAGTTGCAAAGATTCAGTACCTCTTCGAACCAGGCCCCGAGACGTTTTGCCAAATGATGGTTTCATGAATAATCCCAATAAGGGGGATCCTCGCCGAGGAGGAGGAACTGACATTTCAAGACACACCCTGTCTTTTCAGTTCAGGAATAAAGAGATTATTATGCACATCTAATTATAAATGTCAACATTTTATAGCTGCTACATTGAAGCATGAAGCTGTAAGTAGCCCTGATAGGAAGGGCTGTGAAAGGTCTTGTTATTCCTCCTGTGAGTTTTGCCAGAGCTTGTAAAGCACAGTGACATTTATAATAATCCCTTGAATTTATGTATCACCTTTTGTCCTTTCAAGGATCTTAATTAAACTTTGCAGCTCTCTGAGCACAGACTAAACGCACTTTGCAAAAGAGGAGCCCAGGCCCTGCTTCATACAAAATGTGCGTCCTGTTTCAGGCAGGGGTAGGACTTTTCCATCCCAACGACCTCCAGCAGCACACTGTTACACTGCAGTATGGGCATGCCACACCAATATACCCACCCAAAGATTATGCCGCTTCAGTTACACTCTTGTGGTTAAAGCCGGGTAATTTAAGCTTTAATCTCTGGTGTCACACAAGTCTTTCGAACGGAGGGTGCCACTGGAGGGTTCACCCTGATTTACTAGAAATACACAGTTTCTAGCACAGCCTTTAAACCACATATTGGTGCTCCCAACTCTGCACCAAAGCCAGATGCCTTTGCTTTACGGCCCTGCCCACAGGCAGGCAGCAGCCCCCATTTCCTATCACATATCTCACAGCTTTTCATCAACTCTCAGAGGTTGAACGGCTGGTGAGTGATCCCAGCACAAAGACCTGCCAGCGGCTCCAGCCATGTCTACCTTGCAGAGCTGACAGACCCATCAGGACATTTATGCCCCTGTGTCCACAGAGCAGGTGCCAAGAACATCAGTGAGCTTCCATTGCAAAGAAACCCCTTTAACATTTTGCTACCTCTCTGCACTGGGGCAAGATGTTTGCAGTCTACGGGTTTTCAGGGTGCAGGCACCCTTGGGTGGCCAGCCCCGTCCTCAGCCCCTGCAGAACCGATCCGTGGCCCCCACTTTGTGTGCAGGGCCGGGCTGCTCGGGTCCGGTGGGGCCCCTGCTCCTGCTTGCAGCTCTTCAGGTCGATGTTGCCATCTAGAGGTCCCTGCTACATCGATCGTCTCCTTGCAAAGTATTGGGAAGGCTT